ATAGTAGAATGATCTGCATCTTATGGAAGTATCAGTTAAATCTTACTCAGGATCTCTTCTTATCATCACCTCTTTTTGCTTTAAATTTAGAAAAGATTTTTTTTAAAGTGAGATAACAATAGTTCCCATAACAAATTTACTAGATAGTAAATTTTTCCATGTAAGGGAAGTGAAAAATAATATAGATGAACAGAAGTGCTTTAAATAATCTAGATTAATTGACACAGGCAGCTATTTTGTTGGTAGACACAGATATAAACTATTCCAAAGATGAGCTATCTTTGTCATTGTCTCCAGAGCTTTCTAAATCAGACGAAGGACATGAGTATGCGGATGACAGGCACACCAGGTAGTGTACCACTGGCCCACATGCACAGGTGCCATTTCCAACTACTATATCAACCACTGAGTTGCAGCTCAATGATTTCAGGTAGAATTTGCTGCTTGATCTTAGCAGGCATATTACAATGCTGCACTAGAGGAAATGACACCTATCAGAAAATATGAAATCTACCCCAGCCCAAAAGTCAGACCAAGATTTCAAGTTCTCAGTAAAGTCAGTGTTGAACACATCGAAGGTAAGGGTTTTTTTGCACTGCCATCGCAAGAGTGTAATTTGCCTTAATCATACACTAGAGCTTCAAATAAATGTGAGATTCAAAACCAACTCCAAACAGAATAACCTAGAACAATAATAATAATAATATTACATAATTATAATTCCCCAAAAGTGCCTGAAGTACATGTTGGGGGGGGGGGGAAGAATCCTAAATATTTAACCAAAAACAAAAACCTGTTCACACTGTAAATTAGGCAACTACTTTTAAAAGACAATACCTATGTCCCAACTCTTCATCTATCAGAACCATCACTGTTAACTTTTTGTCTACTCTTCAGAACACTGCTATTCTAATTCTGAATAAAGTAAAGGTCTATGACTGAGCTTGTGATAAAAAGCTGGGTTCATAATTTGAGACAGAAAGTTCATTTCTTAAATGAATAAATTTTCTTTGACAGATTCCTTGTCATATTTCTTCCTTTGTGGAAGAAATAAATAAAAGGATGTGTCCTGATTTCAGCTGGGATAGAGTTAGTTTTTTCTTAGCCAGCACAGTGTGATGTTTTGAATTCAGTGTGAGACTGATGTTGATAACACACCGATGGCTCAGCTGTGCTCAGCAGTGCTTACCCTGAGCCAGGGGATTTTCAGGTTCCTGTGCTCTGCCAGTGAGGAGCTGCACAAGCACCTGGGAGGAAGCATGGCCAGGACAGCTGACCTGAACTGGCCAAATGGATATTCCAGACCACAGGGCACCGTGTCCAGTATATAAACCTGGGAGAGCTGGCTGGGAGGAGCAGATCACTGCTGGCAGATGGGCTGGGAATCAGTCAGTGAGTGGTGAGCAATAGTGCTGTGCATCACTTGTTTCTATTGGGTGTTATTGCTCCTTGTCTCTCTTTTCAATTACAATTGTCAGTTGAAGTAGTAGCATATTTTATTTTGTTTGAGCTATTAAACTGTTCTCATCTCAATCCAGGAACTTTGTCTCTTCTTTCCAATTCTCTTTCCACTGGGGTGAGGGTAGCAAGGTGGCAGCTACATGGCTCTTGCTGGCTGGGATTAAACCCCAACAGACATTTTCGGTAGTACCCGGAGGATTGAGATAACAACAGATCTGATCAGAGCTTGTTAAAAGAAATTACTTTAAGGATTCATTGAATTGGTTTAATCATTGCTGGTCACCATGTTTTTTCATTTGTTCCCTGCATGTGTGCTCACAGGCACATTATGGAACACTGTTCTTGATGCACATGTTCCCTGTGGTGATGCTGATCGTCGATGGGGTCTAGGCTAAAGTTACAACTCTGTTGCTCTTTGCAGGAGTGGTTTATGACATGATGAAATCGCTGGTCATGAACCAAATCCCGTCTGTGTGCTTGGCCCTGCGTCACCTCTGAGCCTCGGGAGCCATCTGGTGGAAACTATTAACAATCACACCTTTTAGCTGCTGCTCGTAGCGTCAAAAGGACCTTAATTTCCTGAACATTTCTTTAATTCGTCCGTTTTGCTGAGCATGAATATGACAGTTTGCGAGATGAGCTCAGAAATCCCAAGTGGGAGATTTTTCTTCAGGTAAATACTCACAAGGATTGACATTAAATCCGTATGTGTAATTGATGGGCAGCGATGTTTACTGAAATAATAACACAGAGATTTACTTTTCTCAAATTTTTTTTCTGGAACATAAGAAATGTTAATTGATTGATAGTAGAGCTTCTATTAAACTCCAAATATGCTGATCGTAAGAAACTATGGAATAATGTGCTGTTCAAACAGTAAGTGAGAAGACTTAAGCAGGAAAGCATTAATATTATCTAGACATCATATTAATGAATTTCCTTAATCAAAGGAATCCTTTGAAGAGAATTTTCTCCACCAGATAAGAGAAAGTAATTATCGGCGGGGAGAGGATGTGGGTCATGGCAGAAAGGATGCCATGCTGTACTAGGGAGAGACACACCCTGGGTAGCAGCCTGAACTGCCATTCCAGCAGTCTCCTGCAAAGAAACAGCAGCATTAATCATATACAGTGATTAAACAATTACTTATAAAATCATCTCTTTTAATAATACAGGTAACAACAGGACAGATATGATGTAAAAGTGGCAATTTCAGATTCCAAAATGCCACTCACAAATTTAAGCTCATCTTTAAGCTCACAAATCAGTGTTAATCATTTTCATGCCTTCCACTCCCCTTGCCTGAGGTATGACTGTCCATGCAGCTAGAGTTCTCATTCTGTCACATCCTCTGTTAACTCAATTCACAATAAATACTTTTGCCATCAATGCTAGGCACCCCCACCATCTCATTACATTAAGAAAATCCTACAGTTGGTTTTTTTTTTTTCAAATTTCTTGTCTTCACTTAAAAGATCCTTCAAAGCCCTCCCCGACTCTGCCTTTTGCTGACACTTTTGTACACTTACATTTGTACACTAGAACTCCTAATTCCCAGACAAAGGGATATGGAGGGAAATCAAGGCTTTCCTGACTGTAAGAGCCAAAAGAACCCACAACCTCAGAGGTCACTGCAGCTTTGGTCAGGCGTGGTATCATGATGTACCCAAGCTGCCAGCTGAGGTCTTGTCAGCTTCTCTGCTCTATTCTGCTGCTCCCACCCAGGAAAGGCCATGCAGGAGATGTGTCCCAAGAGGCAGCATGTTAACTGGCCCCCTCCCTACAATTGAGAAAGCAGCTGGGTCCAGCCAAATTTCTCAAAAGAAGTTCTGCCCTCAGCCAAGAAGAGGTGCTGCTCCATGCTTCTGTGCAGGTGTTCAAAGATGCCTTAGAAATAGGAGGATCATGTAGGGCACTTCAAGGTAGTTGATTTTTCGAATACAGTCAAAGCACAGTAAGGAAAATGGGGCATTTTATTCTTCAGAGGGTTTCCTGATGATTCCCATGTGTGTTAGAAATAAACACTGTTTGAGGAATTTTCACTGGATGTGCAGAGTGCCTGTAGCTCTGGGAAGGCAAAAGATAACACTGGTTTATATTTTCTTCCAAATCTGTCAGGCCAGCTAAACATGCAGCCACTCCCTTGCCTGGTTTCATCAAAATGGGCTTAGCATAAATAGTTCAATCTAATGGAGACAGCAGAAGGAGAGGTTAATCTGGATTGTGTTCACAGAAACAGGATCAAGGACAAGTATGTGTGCTTTTATATTGGGAGCTCTATTGGACTGAATCACAGGCTCAAACAAAACCAATTTGATGGCAACTGAAATACAAAGATAGAGAAAAAAACCTCAACACTTAAAGAATCTGGAAAGAATATGTAATTCTCAAAGTATTAAAAAGGTAACTGAAAGTAACTGAAATATATCTATTTAAATTTTTCCATTAAATTAGTATTTCTGAACATAAATAGCATCAAGGTAAGTTGTAGTGTAATAAAATCAGATCAAAGCAACCTCTGCTGTATTATATTCTACATGGTAGTCCTTCCAGGTAAGACCATTAACACCACTGACTTAAAATCATCTGACTCATTGAACTTAGTGGCTTGGAATAAATGTCCATCACCTTCCTGAACTACAATGCTAAAACCTCATGCATTATTCCAGCCACATTTCTTATCTTTATATGCAACAGTTACACACTGAATATGCAAACTTTCAGCTTTCTCTCTACTGTGCAAACATTTAAAAAAAAAAAAAAAAAAAAAAAAAAAAAAAAAAAAAAGTAAATAGATTTAGCCCAGAAACAATGTAAGGAAATACTTACAAGTAAAATCTTGAATTACCCTAGAGCACAACATCACAACTGAGGAAGTGGCCAAGCCTCACTGCATGTTCCTTTAAAAACTCAGTAGAATGCAGTGGACTTAAATGTTTAAAGAACTTCAAGCAGCAGTCACATTACGATGAAGCAAACCAGTGTGCTTCAATGTACATGTTGCACTGGTGAACAGCTGCCCCTATATACACCATACCAAAATATTAAACTCCTGCAGAAAACAGCTCCAAAAGCACTTTGAAATACACAAAGTATTCCAAGTGGAAATAGGACCTTATGTTGGTTTATGATAGAGAATGAGAACTTAAAAGAATGAGTGAGGACTGATACTGACCACACACAAAAGAAGTATGTGGTGCCAGGAGGCATTTTCCAAAGTAGGTCATGCATCAATGACAAGCACACATTTTGCCTTCCAAAATGTGCTCTGCCACTCTGTATTTTGGCCAGTGATGCATGAAAAGTACTCTAGTGCTTACCCTGCACTTGAATTGGACACAGGGAGAGCTGGGAAGTAGCAACAGTGAACTGTGCAGCAAGTTGGGAGTCCTTGCAGCCACAGGCTCTTTTGCGCAAGGAAGAACCTCTGGGGAAATGGAGCCAAGGGAATAGCAGAGCTCACTTGTATTCCAAGCTTGCAATGGGCAAGAGAGCCAAAATATCAAACCACTGCAAAAAAAACCAAAAACAAACAAACAAAACAAAAAAAAATACAACTTTTATTGAGCATTAATGAAGCTTATAGTCCTGCTTCATTAGGAGCATGTTAGCTGGTGCTCAGAATAAAAAGTAAAATAATGAGAAGCATAGCCAAGGTTGTCTTTCAGTCTGTAAAACCTTCTACAGCAAACAAATAAAACTCTAACAAGTAAAACTAATGTTGTATGGTGGATCTGAGACTAAGAGAAACCTTCAGCCCAGTGAAGAAAAACATGGAAACGGAAAAAGCAGCAGTTCAGTGGATGATTTCCCACAGTTCACAGCAGATGCAATAGGAAGAAAAAATCACTTCTGACTGAAAGATGGAGAAGGAAGACAAAATATTACCTCTATCTTCATTATGAATTCCCAGAACAGATATGTGTTTTAGATGTTTGAATATTCTCAGTCTGAAATTTAAAATACTTTAAAGTTGAGAACAAGGTGGAGTGTTGATCATCTTCCACAGGGAGAAATAATTTATTTTTTTTTTCTGGACAGACAGGTGGTGTTCCCCTTAAAATCCTGTGATCCTATGCTGCATAAAGTCTTCACATTCTACCTGAGATTAAAACTATCTTTAGGATTATTTTGTAAATCTTTATTGGGTAAAATTAACCAATATAAATGCAGCTGTACCTTAGACAGCAAACTGTCTTTAACCTTAGTACCTGGAAGAATGATAGAGAAGGTCATGCTGGGTACTATTCAAAGACTTTTAAAAATAATGCAATCATCAATCACAACCAACATGTTTTCTTCAAAAGTAAAGCTTCTTTGTCTAGGTATAAGACTATTTTAAAAATCCCTACAAAATAATGATTACAGTTGCTGCTTTTAGGATTAACCAGAGGCAGCTTTGACTCTCTGGCCACACATTCATTGAAACAGGTGTTAAATTTACATCATAAATTATTATCCTAGACACAATAATTTTCACACAGGGTACTTTTACTTGAAGGCAGTATGTGGAGAGCATTAGGTACAATGCTCCTTCCCTTGTTTCTTTGCAAGGTAGTTCATACAGTCCTGCTCTGTTGTTGACTGATGCATATTTTAAGGAGAGAAAGAGGAGCTTTGTAAGCAAAGTTCATGCTTGTTAAGAAGAATTGACCTGTAGTCCATAACTTTTGAGTTTAAGAATAGTAATTTAAAAGGTGTAGGATTATATTGGGAAGCTTGTTTCAGTTTCACATATGACAACTTTCTTGCAACAGTAGTGTTTATTTGCCTTTTTCTATTGGTAGGATTTTATGTACTGATGTAGGATATGTAGGATATGTACAGATAGCTGTCTCCAAGTACAGAGCTGCTGTGCTGTTTCTTCCACAGTAAAAATCTTACTATAATCTTTTTTCCTGTTGCTTTTTTCAGCTGCTCTGTGTGTGGCCAAAACGTAATGTGGCTTAAATTATGAAGAGATCAGATGTAGCAAAGGTCATTTATAAAGATTTTTTGCCTGTTTTTCAGTTTTATGAAGTTTGTCAAAGGAGAATATTTATTTCCTATGTACTCAGTATTTCACTGAACTCAGGACAGTTACTGAATAGGGGAGTTTAGCAATTTCAGCAGCAGAAAGCTCTTCTGGCAATTTTTACCTTGCAAATGAGAAAGATTTGCAAGCAACTGCTGCTGAACAAAACCTGTCCCAGCAAATTAAGTTAAAATATGCTAATGAATAAAAAAGTACAATATGGTAAATAAAACATGGTACTGAATAAAGTATGGTGAATAAAATAAAAGATTAGCAGTCTCTTTCTTTATATTGGAATTAAAAATTCGGCCTTTCACTTCTCTGTGATACTCATTATTGCATTTTGTGTTTATAACATTTGTTTGAATATGGTGAGAATGGTTTTGATCTCATCCTGGTTTTGTTTTTCAGGGTTTTTTCCTACATGCATCTCTTCTGTGTCTTTCACAAATAAACCTCAAGTGACTTTGAGCATTCTTCTTCAGACACTTAAAGGAACACCATGAGCAGATATGGTAGGAGGAAATTGAATTCAACTCCATTCACATCATTCATCTTCACTCCATTGACAGCTGTGTGGATTCAGTGTTGTGGTAACTCCTGTCCTGTCTCTGTCTGGGCAGCCTTAACTGGAGCTTAGAAGACTGTCTCCCCTCAAGGTGGTATGTAGTTAAGGTTTTAGCTTTCTGGATAGACAGTACAAATGACCTTGGATCCACTCCAGTCTGAACCCAGTGAAGCTGACAATCATCCCGTAAGGAAGAAAAGGAAACACCAAACAGGACTCAATCAGTATCTGTCTGTACTTGCAAAGTGTAAAATAATTTTATATGGTTAGGTCAACATACAATTAATCCTTCTTCTCTATTAGCTGCATTCCAGGTCCCACACACATGGAAGAAGGAAGAAAGAGCAGATCCAAACCAAAATCACACTGCTGGGGCAGAAGACAGGCAGGAACCCTTCTGAGAGGGGACAGAAATCCTTGTTGCAGTAAGTCAGGCAAAAAACAAAATGCTAAAGCTTGACCTGTATTTAAAACCAATGATAACAACCATAACTAAGAAAGAAACTAAAGAGAAGAAGGTGGGATATCTGAGAGCTAAAGCTCTAAAATAGTCGTCACTTTGCACCAAAACAAAAGCTACATAATTCTGCTGGCCCAGAAGTTAGCATATAGACACGAGACTGAAAATGGAAGAAAGGCAGGAGTTTGTGGGGTTCAGAAAAAGAAGGAAATAAAGGGGTGAACCGTGGCAAGAAGAAACCAGAAGCAGACTTTATAAGGCATCTAATAATTCTGAAATAAGAGCTGTCTCTTTTGTGTGTACTGAAAAAGGCAAGGACCAACCATTATATCACAGCATGTTCCAAAATGGCCAGCCTTCACCTCCAGGTACAACCTGTTAGATTGGAGGGGGGAAGAATCACTACACTTTTACAGCTGTAGTACAGTGTTCTTTCCCTGCAAAAGTATCACTACTCATCCCAAAGAGGTAGACATTTGGCATAGCAAAATTCAACTTAAATCTGACTGAGAAATCATCAGTCAAGTCTGAGATGGAAAGAATGGCGAGGCTGGAGGGAAGAAAAGGCACAGTAGAGGCAAGGATAAAGCAGCATGTGGAATCCTGTCAAAGTACAAGCAAGGTCATACGGGACCCAATTCTGTCATTTACTATTCCCAACTCCTTAGCTTAGCAACTTAGATTGCCTTTTTATTTTTCAAGTGCTCTGTAAACATAAACAGGTCATGACCATTCACTTTCAATTTTACCATCATATGTTTAATCAATAAAACATGTTAGAATGTGAGCTGACATCAAAAACAATAATTTAAATGCATGCTGTGGAACCTCTAAGTTCTGCTTAGTACTCGGACCATTAATTTTTGGTTTGTTTTGGGGTTTTTTAAAATAAATTAGGTTAAGAGTTGCTTGCATATTCCTACTGTAGATAAACAGAAAGCTTGACAAATCAGCACTACCTAAATGAAGAAAGTTTCTTCCTTACCCTCAGATGATGAGGCCCATAATTATTTCAAATAAACTGTCCTGGTTATCTTAATGATGATCCTCAATGCTACAGTGACACCTCCAGCTCCTGCTACAAACATTCACTTTCAGTCGTGTTTGATCAAGTTTTCATGAACTATTAAAGTATATTTATTACATACATTTTTTATATTATTATATTTATTTTTTTAATTACCTAGAAGCCAATCAAGTGTCTAGTTTTACAGGTGAAAAGCTGAGTAGCACTTGTTTATCGCTCAGGCCCCAATTATAGTACTTTCCTCATACGTGTGTCTTGTGGCCCTTACTGTCCTGACATCCAGTTGGCCCCTTTACCTATGCTCCAATGCTGCGTGCATGGAGCCTGGGATACTGTTTACTCTGTCATTCTAATACTTTCCTTGCACTAAAGTTAGACAAATAAATGTGATTTTTCCTGATACTGGTCGCAAATCTGTAGAGAACATACAGTCCTGACAGAAAGCCAGCAGTGTTTTACACAGATGAACTTCTAGATACTCAGCAACCAGCCCAACCAGCCTTGTCCCTTTTCCACATTTTTTAAATTGGCATTGGAATAACTTTTTTTTTTTTTTTGCATGTCTTTTCAACACTAGTCTTTTTTTCAGTACTACCACAGTCCTAGACTTTCTTTAAAACAACTGAAAGGAGCAGGGTACATTCTACCAGCCAAGAAGCTGATTCCAGGAAGGAAATATCTTGAGGCACTGACCAGCTGACATAAGAGGCATGGCTGTGCAACACTGTCCTGGTCTGCCTTTCTAAAACACACATTGCAAGAACAACAGCAGAGTCCCCACAAACTGGTTAATATTGCTGGGTAAGTGGGATGAGATCCCCTGCTGTCAGCCAACCATTTGGTTTGCTGCCTCCTCAGTATGGAATTTTACTCCTCACCAAGGGCAGTGTATAAGACAGATCCTGTTTATTGCACTTGCCTCTGAGAAGAAAGAGGCACAGGTATATGGAGGCTGTTACACATTCTCCATTATTTGGAATATACTACATAAAACACAGATTGGTAAATTCAGGTCATGAGCAGAAAAAAGAAAAAAAAAAACAGTTTAGGGAGCCACACATGAGGATATGTGCACAATCTTTTGACCATCCTGCTGGACTTGGGAAAGGACTTCCTTGTTTTTCTGCAGGGCTACCAGACCAGCTGACAAATCTAAGGGAACCTGTATAAGAAATCAGCCAAGCTTAAACACCTATTTGCTTTACTGAGAAAAAGTGCACTTGTATAAAATAATGCACCATTAAGTGTCCTCCCCTCTTTTGGGAGCAAGTAGTGCTTGTGTAAGGTGTATGCAATAGGTATAGCATGAGTTACAGTACCTCAGGTGATTACAGGTTATTCAAATAATAGTAAATTCAGCTGAAAAACTAAAGAAAATTCACAACTGATGACTGAAGGTGTAGATCTAGAAAAGACTAATTTAAGTTCTGATTTGGCAGATAATCTCATCACTACTTTACAGTTTTACAAATTTAACTCATTTTGTTAAATGAAGAAGTGAACTTCTCTAAAGTCTCTTTGAAGGACTTGATCAAGTAAGCTCCCAGTTCATTGTTTGTCTCCTGAACAGCAGCATCATAACTCCCAAAGAGTGGTGTTGAAGCCTTCACATCCTCTCTATTTGCTTGGAGTAAAATGAGGTTAAGCTCCTCTGCTACCCTTTCATATTTTTGAGGATCAAATCTGCAAACACTGGCATCATCAATGGGGTAGGTGATCCCAATAGGGTAGCAATCCCTTGGAACTGGGAACTCCACATTTTTCAGCATTGGCAATTCACAGAAAAATGTGAAAAGATGTTTAAGTGCTTGGGATGACAGTGGGTTTCCAATAAACTTAAATTCCTCTAGTTTCTGACAAGGGCTTAAACCTAAAATCAACATGTTGACATGAGTGTCTTGGATATTACAGTCCTCCAGGGTAAGACTCCTGAGCACTGAAGAGCAATGGCTGAGGAGTTTAAAGAATGTTGATGGGTAAAGCTCAGGTATATCATGACCACTCAGGTCCAGGGCTTCCAAGTGATTCGCATGGAAGCTATTGGCTAAAAAGGCCATATCAGCATGGTTCAAGGAGCAGTTAGAAACATCCAGCATCTTCAGTGGAGTTTTTAGTGGGCTGCAGAATTAAAGAGAAAAAAGTGTTATGATACAATATGTTGAAAATCTACATTTACAAAATTTCATACATCTAGCCACATTATGAATGCAGCCATCTACCACATTTTTTCTAACCTCTCTTGAAAAAAAACCATGTGCCAACAATAGCAAGTATATTTTTCTCCTGAAATTACTTCCATTAATTATCTACTTCTATGCATGGCTCCACTGTGCTATCTTAATGGGGATTAATTCATTAACATTCTGTGTATCTATTTTTTAACCAGTTATATACTGTAAAGTCACTTGCTGACTTTAACAGCAGATCACTACTACCATAGGAGCATTGGTAGCTGCTTCTTGTAGAAAGCTGCAATCCAGAGATTTAGATAATTTCCATTAAGGAAGGATTAATTCCAATATTAAATCAGTATTCTGAGAGGATATCTGCTTTTGTTTCTAGCTGGTTTCTTTTTGCTACATTTTTAATGCCCAAGAGGTAGTTTTCTGGAGTTGCAAAGACACACTCTGATGAAGCAGGTTGGAAGAAGTGTAACAGAGATTATACTCAGATATTCACATTACATATAAAATAGATCTGACAAATAAAAATCAAGAGATTGCTTTCATACTTACTACATCTTAGTGAGACCTCTGCCACAGGGTTCAGCTGGATCAAGCTTAGAAACTTGCAATTCATTTCAATTGTATCAATCAATATATGCAGTGTGCTACTCACAAATTTTAAATAAAATAGCTTCTTGTATGGGAAGAATTTTAGACCAAGCTCATTTGTCTGGATGAAACTATTATCTGCCTTTTTTTTTTTTAGATGCTCTGAAAAGCTTACAATTAACTTATTTCCTGTTCCAATATGAGTACTGCTTACTGTGTTTGCTACCTTTTTGCAAATTGCCAGTTTTCCACTGGAATTCATAATGAATATTCACATATCAGCTTAATTTGCAGTACAAAAAAAATTAAATCTCCCTTGTCTTGGCACCAAGAGACATAACAAATAATTGAAATCAAAGTCTCAAATGAAAATCAACTATTCCCCTGCCCTCCTTAAAATACAGTATCTGTGGAAAAGCATATTTACTGACTGTTCTTTAGAGGACAAACATTCACTAGATACTCAAAAAAATACTTGGAATACAACTCAGGACTTGCACCAAGGGCCAATGCAAGCTGATTAATACATAAGTTCAAATAAAAAATATCTGGGTATACCTGTGGTAGCTAAAAGTATATTCTCACCTGATGGACTCTGGAAGACTAATCAAAATAGTCAGTTTTTCAAAGTGTATTAGGTATACATTGGCTGCTGATTCTCCCCAACACATAATCTTTCCTAGCTTCCTGCTGCACCTTCCCACATACACCCCAAGATACACTCACCTCCCTTACTCTCAGAGATTCCCAGCTTGCTGGTGGCACAAAGTGCTCTTTTTTACAGTGTGACTGAAAGCAGGATGACCAAATTACCTGAGAAGTTTCTGTATTCTTCCAGTCAGTATAGAAAATGACATACTCAGCTCAGTAAGCTGTGTCATTTCACCCATCTTTTCACCAATGTTAGTAAGCATCTGTTCATCTGTAGCTGTGAACCTCCGCACATTAAATGTTCGTGCTGGCAAGGTCAAGGACATCAATAGAGGGAAGTGGATACTGTTGAAGAGCATTTCCAAATGTTCCATTTCCAAGTGAACATTATGAACTATTTCCAGTTTGCGCAACAAGGAGGGATCAGCGAGCTTTATGATATAGAAGAATTTCTGCAAGGTCAGGTTGTCAGATCTGAATGCCACACAGCAGATTTTCAGCGGACAACTGCATTTCTTCAGCAGGGCCTGCATGACCAGCTCATAGTTCCGCTCTGTAACAAACAAGTCAATTAGTACATTGATACTGACTTCAAAGGTACCTGGATTGCACTGTGCTTGTTGCAGGTAAACCAGGAGGTCTGAACAAAGCTTAGAGAGCAGCTGTGTCCTGGCCCACCTGCCCATTGTCTTCTTGCACTTACAAAACTGAACTTCAACATCTCTTATACCCGTCAGGTCGACCACTTTCAACTTTTTCATGTAGGGAGAAGACTGATTCAGCACATAGTCTCTCAGCCCTGTCAGACAGCTTTCCAAGCACACTGAACATGTTCTGTGGCTCAGGTCTTCCTCATAGTCCAGAGTAGCTCCCAAAAGTTTTCCCATGTTAAAATCAAAAAGTGGCCAGTTCTCTACCAAGTCATGAATCACTTCCCCTTGCTCCAGTAAATAGCTGGCTTTAAAAAGAAGCGGAAAAAGATCATGCGCAACAGCCCCGAGACTCTTCCTGGCAAACTCTGCATTTGACACAAATGCTTCGGCGCTAATGAATCGGAGAGACTTCATTGTTGTCCTGGACTCCTTACTGTCATGGAGAGTGACTTCTATATTTAACTAAAGATCCTGGTTGCTTACGACCTTCTATTTTTATCTGCAACTGCTGTTTGCTGCTAGCGGGAGCCTGGGAAGCCAGAGTGGAGTCACATGCTGCTTTCTATTTTAGAGCTACACTGTGAGTCTGCAGTAATCATCTATGCGATCTTTAGTCAGAGAGCTTTTAAGCCCTCATATTTATATCTAAGCTAACTCAAGTAAATATAGACTGCTATCCAGCAGAAACAGTAAGATCAGTGCAGCACACATTCATGAGAATATTGCTGTATCTTTTTTATGCCATACAAAAATGCACTCAGAGTTCCACTTAAATAAATAATATGATCTGTATTCCACTTTTTTCCATGAAAGATGCTATGCTGGGGATTCAGATGCTGATTTCAATGGGGATCATTTCCCAGAGTTAGCATTGAGCTTGTCCTAAAAACTACAGCCATAAGGAAAGACTGAGGCACTGCAGTCATTGAACTACAACAATGCCCCACTGTTTTGCCCTTCCTGTCAGCAAGCAATAGCTGATACAGTTGCTGCAGTGGAAAAGACAAAAGACTCTGGAAGAGCTCAGAACCTTGGTGACCAGGACACTTGTTTGTGGTAGGAGACTGAATGTTGATTGCAAGACAAGCTGAACAAAACAGAGCACTGTTAAAACTCTCTCATAACTTCCCAGGCAGGCATCCTAATGATCCTGCTTTGAGCAACAGACGGTCTTTTCTTTCCTGTTATTTAAGAAATGATGGTTCCATTGTGATACTGAATGGGAAAGCATTCAAAATCTATCCAGGCTAGGAGAAAAACCTCTGTCACCCACCTATCACAAGAGCAGAGATGATGTTTCTTTCAATCTGGCACTTCCTCCCAGGGGAAGCAATGATGGATACCTCCCTCACCTCTCATGTGTTTTGCTAGGCAGCCAGTGGGATGGAGACTTCCTTCAAGCTGTGCTGATCCTGCTTTTCAAGATAATTCCGGCCACTGTTTTGCTGTGAAAAATACACACTACACTTCAAAGTTTCAATTTCTTTTTTCTCTTCAAGTAAACTCCTTATGGAATATTTTATTGAAAGCAAAAGAAAAATCCCAAATATGCTTTAAATTACAGGGAAGGAACATCTTCATTAGATTGTGTCATTCTGAGAAAGCTTTTTAATTTTGCAGACTTTTGGTTTGTATTGTTTTAATTTTGCCCTCAAAGAGATGAGTGGTAAAAAACATGCAAGGTGAAATAGATAGAACTTGACAAGGTATTAAGTATTTTCCTTTGTTTTTCAACTCCATGTGTATCAGATGATAATGATGTAGGTATTACAGTATTTTGTGCAACTTAATAAAAGCTGAAAATGGCCACATATAACTGATCTCTGTATGACAAGGAAAATGCACAAATTGATTGAAAGTTTTGTCAGTTTAGTTTTATTGCCTTTCAAAATGGAATAAGCTAGTCATTAAGTTTTTATCTGTTTACCTAGTACATCTGGACTTCTTTATTTCCCAGCCTAGTACATTTGGACCTCTTTATCTGCTTACCTGGTACATTTGCACCTCTTTATCTGCTTACCTGGTATATTTGGACTAGTAGTCCAAAAGTTCCAAGATAAAGTACTCTACTATTGTCCCAGACTTTTATTAAAATACAGCAATAGGAATGCTGCCTGGTTGGGGCATGGGGTCAGAAAGGCCAGGACTTGGCTGGAGCTGAACCTGGCAAGGGAAAGAACAATAAGAAAAGCTTCTATAGGTATTTTATGCCAAAAAAGACAGGTCAAAGAAAGTGTACTTCTCTGATAAACACAACTGGGAAACTCATAATAACAAACTAGAAGCAGGCTGAGGTCCAATTGTTTTACCTCAGTCCCCACTAACAAATCTCTCTTCCCACACCTCTCAAGGTAGGGACTGGAGGAGCAAAGTTCCTCCCACTGTAAAAGACTGGGCTTGTGACCACCTAAGGAACCTGAATGTCCAGAAGTCCATGGAACGTGATGAGATGAATGCCAGACTCCTGAGGGAATTGGCTTATACAGTTGACAAACTACTGTCCATGATACTTGAAAATTCATGCCAGTCAGGTGAAGTCCCAGGTGACTGGAAAAGGGGAAACATTGTACTCATCCTTAAAAAGGGTAGAAAAGATGACCATGGGAACCACTGTGCCTGGGAAGATCCTGGAACAGGTCCTCCTAGGAGCTGTGCTAAGGCACATGGGAACAGGGAGTTGATTTGGGACAGCCAGCACAGCTTTATCAAGGGCAAGTCCTGCTGGACCAACCTAGTGGACTTCTATGATGGAGTGGACATCAGTGGACATAAGCGGACAAGGGAGGGGCTGTGGCTGTCATTTGTCGGGACTTCTGTAAGGCCTTTGACATAGTCCCTGGCAAAATCCTTCTCTTTTAATTGCAGAGAGATGGATTTGATGTGGGGACTGTTTGGTGGGTAAGGAATTGGCTGGACCGCTGTATCCAGAAAGTATTGGTCAAGAGCTGAATGGAGATCAGTGAGAAGTGGTGTCTCTCAAGGGTACATATTGAGACATGAACTGTCTCAATCAATGACATCGTGGCAACCAGTGCACCCTCAGCAAATCTGCAGATGGCATCAAGCTGAGTGTTACAGTTGACATGTGCAAGGGATGAGATGCCATCCAGAAGGACCTAGAAAAGCTTGGAAGTGGCCTCATGGACTAAATATGAGGTGCTGCATCTGGGTTGGGGCAACTCCCTATATCAACACGGGCGTGAGAGGATTGAGAGCAGCCCTAAAGGGAAGAACTTGGAGTGCTGGTGGTGCACTCACAGCCAACCATTTTCCCAGATTCCATCAAAAGCAGTGAAGCCAGCAGGGCAAAGGAGAAGATTCTCTCTCTCCCCTCTGGAGAGACCTGACCTGGAGTCTAAACTTTCAGTATTTACCTGTCTAGGAGCCCTTACATCCAGGCATTTCTATATGAAAAACTGTCCAGCTTCATCAGTCTGTCTAACCTTGTGTTGTGGTTTAAATCCAGATGGCAACTAACTTCCATGTGGCTGCTCACTTGCTCCCCGCTTCCCAGGGGGATGGAAAAGAGAATTGTAAAACTCATGGGTTGAGATAAGAACAGTTGATTAATTTAAATAAAGTAAAATGGAAAAAAATATTTTAAAAGGCAATTAAAACCAAACCAAAACAAAACATAAAACAAAAACCCCACCTCTACATAAGACCTGAACCACATTCACGGCTCCTTGCAATAGGACCATGCTGGTTTCAACATCCCAACAATATTCAAATTTTTTAAAATTCCCAAATGCCACTGTAATTAACCTAGAAAAGTGGAATATGTGGGATAATATAGGTGTCATTGCTAATAGTTCCCACCAGATGGCTCCCGAGGTTCAGAGGTGTTGCAGTGCCAAGCAGGCAGACAGGATTAGGTTTATGACCAGTGGTTCCATTACCTTACAAGCAATTAATACAAAGTACAACAAAATTATAACCTCAGCCCAGGCACCAAAGGTCATAAACACCACATCAGGGAACACATACTGAGAACGAGGGCAATAGCCCTGAGACCAAATTAGGCTTACATATGCAAGTAAGTAAATAATATCGTTAATCTCTTTCCTAAGAGTGTTTATTGTGCAGCTCAGATCCCTACTTCTTTCTAGGAAAATTTCTGACTTGCCAAGCTATCATGAAAAATTTGAAAAGTCCATGACATTTGTGGACTCAGAATCTGATCTGTGTGGATGAGATTTTACATCAGCTTCATCTACAAAGAGCTAAGGAAGTTATTTTATTATGAAAGGCATAGTTGCACAGGAAAAGTAATGCTAATGATTGAAAAAAAATCATAGGTTTTACAGAGTATAACATGAACATCATAGCAACTATTTTACATGAGAATGAAGTACAATAATGTTTTTCACTACAATAAATATAATTAAACTTATTGCAAAAAAAAAAAATAAATAAAAAGGAGCAATTAAGTACCACACAGTCATTCACACAAATTGACTGGTTTTAGCTCAGCATTCCTCCTCTCTGTCAGAATGATTATGTTACTCAGGTATTAATCAGGTATTTGTTACACATTTGATCTTTTTCTTCCATATTTAATGAACAATCATCTGGCACTGGTTGCACTCCTTTCTTGTAATATTGATGTTAGGGGACAAAGAGAAAAAAATTCCAAACCATATTTTTGTGCATCTAGTTTTTAAAATAGTGTTCTGTTGTGCTGAGTTTTTTAGTTTGGATTTGGGCGGGTGTAGAAGGAAAGACAACATCACCTTTGCCTTGTCAATCAAAACCTGGAAATCTCCTTGCAGCTTTCTCACTCCCTCCAATGAAAGTCCTCCTTGATCTAAAGAGCAAAGATATTTCTCTTGCTCATTTATAAACTACAGTTTTATCTGCATAAAAATGCAAAAAAAAATTGTCTCCCCATTCAGCAAATCAAATATACACTATTCACAGACAAAGGACATAGAAATTAGATAGTTTGTTGAAGTAAGTTAATATACTTAATATATTACATCATATATTTCTCTCTTAAAAAATTCTGTCTCCTTATATTACCAACTGAATTGGGCCAGCTTGACACATTGACCCGATGACAATAATTTTTTTTGCGTGCTTAAAAATTGCTCATATTAACAGCACTGCACACTAATTTTCTCCAAGCAGCACTATATGATAAACAGCTATATACATAATGTCAGATAAATTCAGCTATTTAAACGGAGAAAAAGATGTTTAAGACTATAGTTTGTTTAATAAATTCCTTAAAAGTAATGACGACCTGGTCACAATCTTCCTCCAATTTTCATGCTTCTCCAAGACTCCCCAGCTGGCAAAGGCATTTATTGGACAACAGCAACAGTCCATGGACTTCCTCATCTACTTGATTATACAATTTGGTTACAAACTCCATGGTATCTCTTTTAAATGGGGAGGAAAGATCAACAGAATTTATCTGATGTGTACTTCGTCAGAGAGTAA